CTTATATGTAACACTTGTGAAGAGACAGTGTTTACCATCAATATTTATTTCTACGTAAGTCATCAAAGATGAAACTTTAGCAAAATCCACGACAGATATTCATCGCTGCTTCCAAACACGAAAAAATGAGATGCATTCAAAGATATCCGTGTACTCCAAAGGGTTACCAAACTAGGAGATGAAATAAACTGAACCAGTGACCGGAATATTGACAATATTACCTGATAAAAACTTATGAGAAGTCAGAAAAAATTATCGCTCCAATTGAAATACTGAAATCCTTCACGTTCTTCAATTGCAACACAATTTTTACACCCCTCTTTCTAAGGCTATAACTTCCTTCATATTCGAGCTTCTGCGCCGAAGTGATTTGATTTGGAAAATTCAAATTATTCTCTCTCCAACCATGGGTAAAAATTCTTCGGAAAGTTAATTTAATAAAAATTTTGTACGTTGTTACTTTTTTCTGTGCAAAGGCGACTTTTTGACCTTTAAACGATCATAACTTCCTTCAAAGTCATTCATTTGGGAAGCTGAACACGTATGACAAACTACAGGATTCAAGCTTTCTAAGGCACCAAAACATTCCTGCAAAGTCAGCAGTTCAAAATTAGTCCAGTTGTTACTTTTTTCTGAGGGATTCTTCTTCAAGACATTTTCCCGAAAACGCGGATTTTCTTAGGTTTCACTGCCCGTAACTTCCTGGAAGACCAATCTCATGTTTAACTCAGGATGTGCTAGAAAGCTTCGAGCATGCGCTTACAAAGCTTGCCTTAGGTGCGCGCACGTCGGTGCGCCCGGTTTAATTTGACTGATTCACTTGAAATAATTTAGAGTTTAAGGTGGTTTATTAGAATTGTCTAGTATCAGTATCTACCGAAACGGAACAGTGCTGCTATTTACGATATTACATGAAATCCACTGCCCCCGAGAGAGTGTGACCCCTCTAAGTCAACCTGAGTACGCCCCGGTGTTACGAACAAGTAGAGGTTGACCATGGGAGGAATGATCGGGAAAAGAAAGGAGCAGAAGAAATCCTGTTCCTTCCCAATAAGGTCCCCTCTTTGTCGGCTAACTTGATGATGGAGGAGGGGGTATAGGAGAAGTTTTCACGAAGGACAACTCAGTTGTCCAAGTGCAAGCGTAGTTTTTATTTTTGTTGGTTCAAAGCATTGATAACGTGATATTATTAAGGATCTATCAACATGCCAAGGAACTTAACAGCGAGTATCTTGAAACAATGAAACAACGAGCTGAGAAAGCAAGAGCGGCAGCGTTGGTGCCGGTGGTGGTGGCTCCATGTCAGGTGATTCCATTTTATTGTGCAGACGCAGCAAGTGTCTGTATTGTGCAGTAATAACAATATTGTGCCTGATAAATATAAAAGGATAAAGTATTTGCGATGATCATCCCTTTTTGGGATGCGGCACGATTTCATTATGACATTGCAGTGGCATTTTGAATGATGTGAATGGGGCCGTATTACATGATTGCTGGGGGACAGGCCGATGTTCAGTCAAGTTGGTTTTTTATCTCAGGACAGTTATGGTAACATTACGCGACCGGAGGGATGGGAATGGCTGTAGTTGGCCTGAGCGATCCACGGACGGATTTGATCCTCGGACGGCTCTGGTGGTAAGGCGCGAAATTGTCATAGAACCACTCCGCCCTTGCTATAACTTCGTATAGCATAACTTTCCACGACAACTGTTCAGCTACTTCTTATTGGTGATATTCTCTTCAAACCTCATCGGATGGCCTTGCCTTCGGACGAGGACAGTGTTCAGGGCTGAGCAAAACATCTCGACCCTGGCAGGACTCGAACCTGCAATCTTCGGATCCCAGTTCGGACGCCATGCTTAATTTTAGAGTTCCAAGTAGTGAGGTACTTCAGACAGTTTTTCCCTACTGCGCTACTGAACGGAGTTCTGCAGAACACTGGTAAAGGCATAAATATTGGTAACGATTCAATATTCAAACAAATTTCCATAACAGTGTTGAGTTGTGAATTGACTGCATAACTGACCATAAGATTTGCTTTACCAGTATACACAGATTTTGTCACATACTTGTTTTATTTCTTGAGTAAGGGTCCACCATTGCCACCTTGTATATCTTTCTATGTGTTTATTACATTCATCCATCTGCGGCCATCCTCCCGCTCTCGGTTGCTAAATGTTAGGAACAAGACCAGTGGGCATGACACAACTTGGGAGGGGTGGCCTACACTTGTTCCATCTTATCTGGGGCTCTGCTGTGTGCTAGTCATTCTGCACATTTTCTAAGAACCTTACTGTTTTGCTATGACTACGTTGGCGCATGAAGTATTTCCTCTTGACGAAAATCCAAATGCCAAAGGATATAGTCATGGTACGTTTCGCATTGCTTGCTCGTCTGTATAGGTAGTTTTGTGAATCGTCTGTGTTTTGGAACAAGATCCCTAAACTTCTCTCCTACAAAATTTTGAAATGGATGGCAGCAAACAAAATACGATGATTTAGCCCGAGGCGCTCTTGAGAGTATGGCCACCTCAGTGGGCTCTTCTCGCTATGTATATTTCGTTCATAAAAAGACGATAATCCCTCAAATCAAGAAAGACGTTCTGACAGTGTACGATCTCTGGAAAGGTTGTGGCAGGTCAGGTTATTGTAACTTTTCCAACAGACAGGTTCCTGTATAGTCTTATTTTTCTGTTGTTTTCAGTGAATATATTATCAAATTAAATGATCACGAAGAACTGAAGGAGTTCTACGAGCTAGATTCTGGTGAAGGTATTGCTGTAGTGGAGAGCGAGACTGAACTATTGGTTGGTTGACTAACTTTCATTCTATTTCTAGCCAGTTTTGTCCCTTGGCAGCCATCGAGGCCTCCCATTCCCTGCGTATGCTTCACGCCTTCCGCAGTTCTGAGGTGAACACCCCGTGGAGGGATGCGTATGGGTGGCCTTTGAGTAGATGATCTTATCGCACTCATAACACCACGTCAGAATGGCACTCAGTACTGATTTCAAGCATGAAAGTAGTTCAAGCTTAGCTTTATCCATGGTTTCTTTCCCCCATCGCTTCCACCGCCTCTTCCATACGCCTTTCAGTTGCCGATGGAGTACATGGTGGAATAGACGAGAGTTTGCTCTGTGGGTGTGATAGCACAGTCGTGCCATTTCGAAACGTTGAGACCTCAGCTTACCGGTTTTGTCGGAGGTTGTTTTCTCCGATTAGCTCCCTTATCCCTCATTTTGTGGACGAACATACATTCCGACAGAGCGACATACATACATACAAAGCAGAGAAAAGGAGGCAGTGTTTTTGCACAATTGACAAATACAATTTCACGGCACTTTCATAGGAACGCAACCATCTGACCGGCGCTTCGACAATGTAGTCCGCGCCCGCCTCCCGATCTTCGAGTATGATTACACCCCAAGTAGGTTTTGTTTATGTGACAGATGGAGTTTGATAAAAGATAAAGTGCTTGACGCCCATCGATTTCCGTGTAGTGGACCATGCATCGGGATACGTGCGTTTCTCCCTCTGGGGTCAGGTCACCACAGTTGCGCGATCATTGAAGCTTAAGGTTAGGTTTAGGGGTTTTGACTTGGTTGGGCTTATGTACAATCGGCTTATGCCCGGGGCCTAATGATTGGGTAGGCCGTATAGGCCTAACAGGAGCTTTTTGAAAACGGTCTTTTGCATGATATAGGGGCAGATGCGGGGACCACAGAACCATGTTTTCCTGAACGGCCCTCTGAATACCAGAAAAGGAGGTCCCTAGTTCGATTCCTCGTGGTAACAAATTTTTGCATTTCGAGTTGACGTGCCAAAATTCGCGCAAAATGGAGTTAGAACCAACCAGAACAATCAGAACTCCATTTTGCGCGAATTTTGGAACGTCAACTCGAAATGCAAAAATTTGTCACCAAGAGGAATCGAACTAGGGACCCCCTTTTCTGGTATTCAGAGGGCCGCTTTAGGAAGATCTAAACATGAGTTCTCTAGCTTGGGTCAGGATGCCCTTTATTATCATGCAGAGACCGTTTTCAAATGCTCGTCACGCCTGAACCTCCCTGTAAGCTTGCTACGAGCGAAGACGCATCTCAGGTGACTACGTCAGGGGGAAAGAAAAACCACGCCCACCCCTTTTCGTGTCGCCATGATTGCTTTCGTTGGAAGTGCAGAAGCTTGAGTTGATTGTTTGAGTGCGTGCCGTCCTCGTCTTCCTGGAGGTCAGGTCACCTAAAATTGAGATGCCGTTCTTTCGCTCGGAGCAAGCTTAGGACTAAAACAATCAACTCAATACTCCATGTCCTAACGATGCAATCATCGACAGCGAAGTAAAAAAAACTTTGACGACTCATTTTAGACGATATGTTAGACAATTTTTGCAATGGCTGCGGGCGCTAAAAGAACCTAAATTTTGCCGCCAAAGAACCTGAAAGGATACAGAATAGCTAGTATTTGATTTTTTAGTAGCCGTTTTCTTACTATTGCACCTCAAAGCAGATATGTTAATAATGACCTTACTGTACAGGTCTTACACGTTAGGCTGATTCATGAAAAGAAGGAAGTCCAAGAATTGGACCGAATTCAAGTGATCGAGAAATGGCAGCAACAGGAAAATATGAGTGAGTATAGGTGCATGAGGTGAGTCCGCCTATGGTTTCAATGGGAAACCTTGCATGAACTGTCTACTAAACAGCGCTGCACAATGAAGATGATCAACCGTTGTTGAGTAAGCGAAATGGAATTCACCCAATGGGCTGTTGCTGAAAACTTTTTGGGATCATTCGTTCTTTGTTTCGTCGCTCGTGCATGGCGTGTTTTGTATGTGCATGGCTTAGGAAGTTTCATGTTTGAAAGCTCATCGGCACATACATGAGAGATGTTGCACCACATGAAGAGTACCGTGGGAACTGCACCTGGAACGTGCCAGGCCATACAGGACACATAACTGGGTCCAATCATTAGTATTCCGACTGCGCGAGCGTAATAAACTACTGTATACAGACATCCAAACCTACACCCCAAGTAGGTTGTTTATGTGACAGATGGAGTTTGATAAAAGCTAAAGTTCTTGACGCCCATCGATTTCCGTGTCGTGGACCATGCATCGGGAGACGTGCGTTTCTTCCTCCTGGGGTCAGGTCACCACAGTTGCGCGATCATTGAAGCTTAAGGTTAAGTTTGGGTTTAGACTTAGGTTAAGGCTTATGCTTACACATTGGCTTATGCCTAAGCCTATGATTGGGCCTAGGCTTAGTCTAAGCTTGCTCCGAGCGAAAGAACGGCGTCCCAGTGTGACCTGACCTCAGCAGGAGGACACCACGCAGCCCCCTTCGCTGTCCATGATTGCGTCGTTTGGGAATGGAGCATTGAGTTGATTGCTTGAGTGCGTGCCGTCTCTCCTCCTGAGGTCAGGTCACCTAAAATTGAGATGCCACCAGCGTTCTTCGTCGGGAGCAGACTTAGGACTTAAACAGTCAACTCAAAATACTCCAATTTCCTAACGGACGCATCGACAGCGAAGTACTTAACGACTCATTTTTAGGCGATATTTAGAGAAATTTTCGCAAGAGATGGTGGTGGCTAAAGCCACCAGAATTCCCGCCCAAAGAAACCTGAAAGGATACAGATAGCTCGTATAGATTCTTACTGAGCTTGTGTCTTCGATGTGACTCAAAGCAGATATGTTAATAATGACCTTACTGTACAGGTCTTACACGTTAGGCTGATTCATGAAAAGAGGAAGTCCAAGAATTGGACAGAATTCAAGTGATCGAGAAATGGCAGCAACAGGAAAATATGAGTGAGTATAGGTGCATGAGGTGAGTCCGCCTATGGTTTCATTGGGAACCTCAGCATGAGCTTCTCCATATAAACAGCTGCACAAATGAAGATGATCCAAAATGTTTTAGAAGCGAAAAATGGATTCACTCTGCTCGCGTGCTCCCGTCTGGGGATCCGGGTGACGGAACTACAGTTTCACCAGAAATACGTCGACGTAGCCCATACAGGTAGGTCGGGATCAAAGGAATGATTGTCTTTGTTTTATTAGCGTTTCGGGAATGACTGCCGGGCATCCATGTTAAAGCGCTGCTACTGTTCACCGTAGAAAGACGCTGACAAATACTCCTCAGGTCGTTCTATTCGTGTAGGTAATACAAGATCACAGTCGTACTTATCCGCCAACTACAGGGCACTAAAGACTTTGATATCTTCAGACCTCCCCTTCAGAAAAGCGAGAAAGCGTCGGTGGCAGACCAAACACCGCAAACTGACGACGGCCTCCAAGTAAATCTGGTTAGAAGTCCTTCATAGTGATAGCTGATTTCTGGTAAATGATAGTTGTAATTAGTGACAATCGACAGAATACAACCACAATAGGCTAATCATTTCAATGGCAGAAAAAATATACTTTTGTTTGAGCCGTAGTTTACTTGGTTGGTGCTTGATACACGACATTTTCTGCTTAGGGGAGGGTTAGGTTTAATTGAAGCGAACAAAAATAAAGTAGGGCATTCTGATTAGTAAGAAGATCAGATGTGCGCTTAGAATAGACGATATTAGATGTGAAATTTCTGTGGCATCAATCCCTCACTTGCAATCAAGGGGTCCAAACCACACGCGCAAGCCCTATTCACCCCCTCGGCGCAACTTCGTCTCGTTTTATAGTCTATAGACTTGCCAAGACTATCAAAGTATTTATTTCTCTTTGTCAAGCAGCCGGTGCCACTGCGGAATGGCACTACCAAGGGGACCTTATAAATTCGTGAAATAAAAACTGATTATTGCCTCATTTTGAGCATTTACCCGCACAATGAACACGCGTCGCATAAGACGTATGGCGCAAGGTAATGCTAACAATTTTAGATGTCTGCATATTCGGTTCTTGAAATCCAATCGCTCTGTCGCGACTTACCATATTCTGTTCTTGATTTTTTTGTTTTTCATTTTTTAGCGAACGCTTGGCTGTTTAGCTTTGCAAGAAACGGTGGGTTAAAGGAGAATCGGAGGTCGAAGAAGGGAAACCTACCTAGTAGAGATAGGCGGATCCTCTAACGGTAAGATGCGGACCGACACGTGATTTGAGCGAAGGCGTGTGATCTAGTATGGCCGTCACCGCGCCGCTGTCGTGCTGCGCTGCTCACATGCGTGCCGTATATAGATGAGCCGCCTAGGAGAGGAAGTGTAACGGTCAACAGGGATAGAGCAATGAAATACGTCTAACGCGCGGATCAACGGGCCAGGGGTCCAATTTCCCGGGTTCTTGGTTTTTCCTTCGTCCCGCCCCTGCACTTGACTACGTTTCCTTGCCTTCCAGTTGCGGCCATCGTCAAAACTACCGCTTATTAAACAACAGTTACGCAAGGGGGGCGCGCGGTCCGGGAACGGCGTGCATCACTCGGCCGGATTGTTCCATTCGAGAACTGTTCAGCCTAGTCAGAACGTAGAGGTGTGGCTGCAACAAAGACTCACTTGGAAAGGCCGATAGGCAGGCGAGCTGAAGTGGGACCGTGGCGGGAACGGGCGAGGGGATTGCGGGGTGCGTAGCGTTTCTCCTCCTGAGGGTCAGGTCACCTAAAATTGAGACGCCGTTCATTCGCTCGGAGCAAGCTTAGGACTAAGCCTAGGCCCAATCATAGGCTTAGGCATAAGCCAATGTGTAAGCATAAGCCTTAACCTAAGTCTAAACCCAAACTTAACCTTAAGCTTCAATGATCGCGCAACTGTGGTGACCTGACCCCAGGAGGAGAAACGCACGTCTCCCGGAATAACTTCGTATTCGATCACCCCAGCTGCTTGGGGACGGTTGCTTTAAAGACTTTGTGCAGTCAGCGAGAGTTCTCTAGCACCATCGTTTTTTTCTCCGATTAGGATCTAAAAACACAACTCAGCAGCAGCAAACCGCCTCACCTGCATCACCCTGTGTAGGTAACTTTTTTCCACGCAAAATCCGCGATTTTTACCAGAAGCGAGAGCCGTTCCTGAAGAATGAACAGAAATCCCTGCGCCCGAAGCGGTTGTTGAAAAGAAAGAACTACGTAGATGCGCCATGTATTCGACTTCCGTTCAAAACCTCAGTTGCATATTTGATTTAGTTCCCCGCAAATTCGACCGCAAATTACAAGGTCATTTCATTGCTGGAGTCAGTATTTTAAACTCCGCGACTGATATTTGTCGATAGCCCGGCCTGTAGGAATGGTAGGACGGCTTAGAAGGAACAGAGGCGGAACGCACCTTACTGATGTTACAAAACAATCCCTTAATGCCGGCTATATTCAGATATCGCTTACGATGGCGAATATTATTTTCTCCACACCGACCCATGGCGGGAAGGAAGCGTTATTTACTGCTTTGAAAGCGATCCAATACCAGGTTCTCAAGACGAACGCGGTTTTAACGGAAATCTCTTCGCGATTGATCTATCACGTAAAGAGGTTAGCACTTTGTTGTAGTGTGGGTCGCCACCGTGGAGCTATCTCCACTACTTTAGATTCGCACCGTACCGCTGAAGTTCCCGTTCGCACCGGCCATGGGCAGCGGGGGCACGAAAGGTATCGTCCACGTGATGGGGGTCTTCCACAGACCAGGTCATCTGTGGGTGATCACTCAAAATACGAAGCAAATAGCAACATTGAGTGTGTGGAAGCTCGACAATGATGGGTAAGTGCTAAGACAACGATTGAATATCGCAAATAACCTGAGCGATATAAAGCTGGCACAAGGTAACTACTGTGGACAACGACGAGTACGAGGTCACAATGGATGTGTGCGCCGACGGCAGTGCCATGGTAGTGCTTGAGGACGAGGTCAATGGGAGCCCCATCATGCGCAATATTCGATGTCGGTGAGGTTTTTCTATGTGCCACAATAAGTACTAATAAGATTTCAAACGATTCGTTCAGCGGAGTTCCCAGCCTGTATTCGTTGGCACGCACCAGCACCCTCAAGCATCTACCCGGACTTCGATGCGACTCATATTTCACTCAGTTGTTCTCACAGCGACTATTCAAATAACAAGAAAATTTATTCAAGCAGCCTATTAATAAAGATTCATACTGATTCGTGCTAATCAGAAATGAGTACAAAATACGTTACAAACATAAACATTTGACATGTAGTTAATATACGATTGGAGATCCACAAAAATATGTTAATAATCCCTAGTGTCTCATGCTTCGTCAAGCTCATCACAAATAAAAGCGCTGAATCGAAATAAAATCGAAATATATAGTTTGAGATTACTCTAAATATTTTTAAAATTCGATTCCTAACAATGAAAAGCTGATAACATAGTAAGGCATTAATCATGTATTGAAAGAACGCTCATGTCAAGAGGTTCTGGACACTCCGTGACGCTCATATCAAGAGGCTCTTGGGAGTCGATATCCTTGACGCTGTCGGTTGTTGTGCTCTTCTCTTTATAAAGTTGTGCCAAGATGCGCATAACCTAGACATCAATGTGACCTCTACGAAATCTAGTACATGCTTCAAACAGTCTTTTCTTACCTCGCCATGTTTAACACCTGGACCTTTGTGTTTCCCATAGTTCTCCTTGACAAACTTGGCGAACGGATTCAGTTCTGACGCATCACCTGCACCCGTTGCCTTCTTTGTACGTGTACGCACTTGAAGTGTGAACCGACACTTGCAGATTCCACATATCTTCCGATCAATGTCCAGCGATTTAGTGTGGCGTCTCACTCTGGACAGATTCAAAGGTGGCTGTTATTCCGACTAAGGTCAATGGTTTATGATGTATTTATCGTATTCTTAATATTACCAATGCTCCCTTCGTTGCGTTGGTTGTCTTCTAACCTGCTATTCCAACTCGTTACTAATACCCATCCAAGTTAGGAAACTGCCGCTGCTAGAAACGATGCGTACGAGCTTGGATAACCCTGTCAGGATTGGAGAGGCTTTTGTGATAGGTGATCACAATTCAGCGGGCAGTGCCGTACCAGACAATGGGATAGAATTTGGTATTCAAGGGCAGTTTTCTCAGTGGTGGCGCAGAACTCTGACCTTCCTCCCCTACTGAGTTCACATAAAGGCAGCTTTAGAGTATTAAGCGCATGCGCCACCCAACCTTTATTTCTAGCCTATTCAGTTTTTTTTAGTGGTATTACAGTGCGTACCAAAAGTATGTGGACACCCTGGAATCGATTCTCAGGGGTCAGCTAAAGGCTTTTATGTCATGAAACCTCCACCATTCAACTCCTAGTGGTCGATAACCTACAATGATTTTCGGCAAAAGATTTCGTTCTAACTTAGCGAACTATTTTTCATGGAAAGTTTTTTCTTTGTATCAAAATTATGTGGACACTTTTTGAAAAACGGCAATATCTTCAAAATCTGAAATCGGTAGGCCTACCAAAGTTTCTAGTAAGTTGAGCCATTCTGTTTGGCATGCTATGAATGGGGTCTGGATACATGTCTTGCAGATCTGTTCCCAACTAGCAAATTTCACCGACGTGTTAGGTCACTTGTGATATTACTCTTTTGTTCAATGACGTAGAGACCGCGAACCACGATACCTCTACGTTTTCAATAAGGATGAAGTCTGAGGAATACGCTAGCCGACTTGCCAATCAAAGCCGTTGCGTTTAGCATTTTTCCAAATGGAATGGTGTCAGGGACCTCCCCTGCAAAACAAGTGATTTGCGACCATGACTTTTCGAAAAAGGTTGTAGCCGGGACTCAAGCACCTCATTATAATCCTAGTCGTCTACCTGACATGTTGGCAAGCCAAACTTCAATGTACCCCTCCTTTTGGAACCACCCCAGACCTTTGATGAACATCTTCCGAATTGTCTCTTCGAGCACATCTGCGGGTCCGACCAAAGTCTCTCTAAAAACCTCAAGACCACGGCGAATAGATGAGCATAAGCCTCTTTGCCCAGTCGAGTTGGTCTATGAGAGAAATTTCCACAGAAAGTCTTTTATACTAATTTTACCATTTCCACGAAAGCACTGTCTGTGTGGGTTCAAAGTATCATGTTGTGATCCTTTTTTGAGTGGGAATTCCAACCTTGCCAACCTGAACCCGCATTCATATACAAAGCCTTCTTCATCTTCTTTCGTGTCGTGTGCTCAATTGATTGAATGAGACACCGATTGGTCTTTTTTAAGATCGGGAAGATCATTTATGCGTAAAGTTGAGTAGTACGAAAAGAATAATTTGAGAAAATTAAGGCTATTCTTCTCCTGTTTTGAACAAGTAGCGATTGAGAACAACCCTCAGTCAAGGTCCGAGAGTTCGGCGTTACGAAGGGAGTTTCGGGATTGTTCTGTCGCAACCTACGAGACGCGGTGACCATGATTGGAGTGGTATTCGAAATAGGGAGTTCAGAAGTGAAGATCTTTCTGTGCTCGGCCTTCTTCAGAAAAACGCTTGCCGTGAAGAGGAATGATGCCAGAATAAGTAACGAAAGGAGAAGTAAAAATAGGTTAGGAAATCGATGCAAAAACTTCATCTGCCTCAGGGTGTCCACATAATTTTGATACAAAGAAAAAACTTTCCATGAAAAATAGTTCGCTAAGTTAGAACGAAATCTTTTGCCGAGAAATGTCATTGTGGGTTATCGACCATCGTCCAGGTGATTCGACACTAGGATTAAATGGGTGAAGGGTGATTCTATACAAAGGCGTTGAGTGGTGGCTGAGAATCCGCGGTCTCTAGGGTGTCCACATAACTTACGCACTGTATTAATCGGTAATATTCGATTAAATACGTGGTAACTCCTCATGAAATAGGAGTGTGGATCCCTAATGAAGAGCGCGACTTTTTCGCAATACGCTTTTTTCCCTGCGGGAACCCTAGGTCCATTGATGATCACGGTGGACCTGGGATTGCTGCAGCGGAAAAAGCTTCGCACCGGGAAAAGCGAAAAAGTCGCACTCTATTCTAGCGACCAATACCTATGAAGTAGTTTTATAATGCTGACGCTTAATGTCACTAAACAATGTGTCGCTTCATCTCTTACGATGATTACTCACTTTTGTCCGCAGCCACCACACTCGTAGATAAATTTGGCATCGATTTCGTAATCGTGGCATCGTCCAATTACGGGTAGCGAAGGGAATCGTTGCATACATTGAGAAGCCCTGTAAAAGTGCAAAATCAACGACGGAAGGCAGGTGATAATCAATGACACTCTTAGGTGACCAGGTAAAACGACGGGAAAGCGATATTGCACCTCTCACAAACTTCATAAATATTGGCTCACTCAATGAATTTAACAAATAACTAAAACTGAGTCCAGGATTTATCTGCTACACGGTTTAAAATGCACATTTTAATCTCATAGAAAACACAGGGCCTACCATTTCTTCCAGAGTGGACCATGTCCTTCTTTCCGTCGACCATCCACTACCCACACAGCTGCGTGACATAATTCATGAATAATTGTGTCACGGACACGATCTGAATCCATTATAAACTTCAATAAAATCTCGAGTCCCTGGCCGCCCGAGGGTCTGGAACTATAAGAAATTCGAAATATCCACCACCTTACCAGGAGTGCTGCATACTTTTGGTGAGAGCTCGATCCAGCTAGTGCGATCTGACATATTGCGGCACATCCCTGCAGTTTTGCATAAGCGGTTGTTCCACTTCACGGGTAGAAACTCGGGTAACTAAATCACAAATGAATCATTCTTGCAAAGCAGACGAAGAACCATCCAAATAAAAGGAAGCATGTCAAGACACTGCACTTACTTCATCCTTAAAGCACTGCCTACGAAATATATCAAACAGGCGGGACGTGAGATCCATCCGGAGTTTTTCGTTTTTGATGCCTCTCTTCACATATATTTCTGCTTCTGGGTGCCGTTTCCCAGGATAATCAGCCGACAGCGACATGAGGAAATGTTCGTCAGGATCTGATTCCTGTTACAAGGACATTAGAAGTCTGACTACGTTATGCTTCTCATAAAAAATACTAGGGAAAACTCCACATAAATCATTGTTAAAATACCAACATGCTTTCTCGGTTTTGACAGCACGGATGGGCTGCTGAATGAGTCCTTAATCGAATTAAGCAGCTTCTGCTCTGAACGAAGATTGAAAAGCAGCAGAAATAAAGAACAGCAAAAATCGTAACATAACAGCAGTAGAAATAAAACTTGCTTTGGGTTCTGTCGAATATGTCGTCGCTATCACTTGGAGTCCAAGAGTCATCACTCGATTCACGGCCCGAGTTCGTTGGGCTAGAGGCATCGCTGTCGCTAACTACGAAACTAAAAGAGCTTTGATCAGTAGCACGCAAAGCGATCTTGCGAGGAAAGGCTCTCAGGTCGCTGTGGCCTTTCAGGATGGGATGTATACAACTAGATGTGTATTAGAACGCTGATCTCAAATCTACCTTTCAAATCTGCTTAACAATTCTCTGAACGGAGTTATGAAGCAAAACAGCGCAGCCGCAGTGGTCGGGACTCACAATCAAAACGTCGATCAGTCCTTATCGTGTTTACTGATTTCCATTCTTCAGGAATACAGCTAAATGGTTATCAATAGCCTATTT